ACATACACACACACACACACACACACACACACACACATATATATATATATATATATATATATATATATATATATATATATATATATATATATATATGTATATATATAAATCCTCCCTAACCAGGCCTCGAACCTAGGTCACTCCGGGTATGAGACCGGAGAGCCAGTACTAAACCAACCATGCCACGCGACCCCTTAAAAGGAGTGTGCGACTAGGATCTGACTAGCTCCACAGACATTACCAATCTACTTACACTTAAGTAATGATAGTGAGGTTTTACGCACACTCCCCGTGGACATTCGGTGGAAATTGATTTTAGAAATTCGAAACCGAAGTCAGATGTACTGAAGTGTATACATATGAAAGATGGATCCACAGCATTTGTGAACTGAGAAATATATCCCTAATTCCTGCTTGCTACTCTAAGGTTAGCCTTTTAACTTCACAGTTCCTCAAATAATACTAGTGTCGGATTCAGTTTTCATACTTATATTATATGTGCAAAGATTCATCAACGTGGGGCCTGTCTTTAACCCTCTACTCCGGAACCCTCTGCCGCCGTGACCAGGGACTCCTTCCCGCGCGCGTGTGCAAACACACATATCTATGTCATTATCCTCATCGTAAGTCAGAGGCGGGCTTGCACCCACAACTCTGGAGATCTCAAGAACACTCTCCATTGTCGGTGATTAGAAGCATAATCACCAAGGATATGCCTCCAGTCACTGTTCCACGAACGGTAAATGTGCTGCAGCTTCAGGGAGGCCAGGTCCTTCAGGATAGTAGACACCCATGTCGTCTGTACTCCTCCTCGTGAGCGTTTTCTGGCAGGTGTAGGGGCTACCACAAGGCTACAACTAGACGTCGCTCTCAATACGTAGGACATGTCTAAGACAAGTGAGGCTAACTAAGTCTGAGTATCTGATATTAGAATAATATCATTAATATACTAATTGGTTTGATACCATTGTTGGTATTATTGAGGATATCTATACCTATTATTAACATGACTGACTGTGCTTAGAACTGTTTTATGCGACAGGCGTAAGCATGAGGCTTATGGACACCGGGATGGCATCCAGCACTTTACCTGTACCTTCGTTGTAGGACTAGAGTGCCTGTATTCTCGGGTCTCACAGCCAACTTCCACGCCTTAGCCCTTGGATGAAAAGCCAAGGACAGAGAGAGACAACCCTGACAGAAATCAGGCCTGTGCCCTCAGTCTCGAGGTTCTTCTTTAGCTTTTTAGCCAAGGGCTAAGGAAACTTAACCCTACAGAAAGGGGCTCAGGGAGTGATAGATACTGTGTATATACATATACACTTGTATGTATGTGTGCGTTTGTGTGTATGTGCGTTTATTTGTGTGTGTGTGTGTGTGTGTGTGTGTGTGTGTGTGTGTGTGTGTGTGTGTGTGTGTGTGTGTGTGTGTGTGTGTGTGTGTGTGTGTGTGTGTGCATGCATGCATGCGTCCGTGCGTGTGTGTGCGATTACTCCCGTGCGTGTGTTTTATAAATAGGTTATGGATATTACTTAGAACAACGACGGTCAATGACTGTAATTTTACCTTTCGTCAAGAAAGTGTCGTATTGTCACGCACGAGATAGTATTAGATAATGATACATTCTAACTCGAACACTGATAAGGCAATCTGATAAGGTTCTACATCATGCTTTTTCCTTGGAGGGGGGGGGGGATTTCACGATAAGACTTCTATTCGGATACGCTTGTTTGTCGCCAGCGTGTCCTTGATCATGAAAACTGGATCATGGACCTGGATGAGGCTAACGAGAGCGACGACCCAAGAGTGTTCCTTCTCTACACGGCCAAGGAGGCCTATGGGTATAGTATATTCACCCTGATACCGTACTTGGCCATGCATAGCTACTCTTGGGCCAGCATCGGGAAGAAACTAGTAGGGGACCTTCATTCAGTATTACTAAACAAAACAAGGATATGGATCTCTTGCATTCAAAAGTTAATGTATAATACATGAAGGTGATTGGCGTTGTCGCCAAGTCCCCGTGATTATGTTTTCATGTCTTGAAGTGCGTGTGGAGCTCTAATTATTTTCATTTTGTTAATAACTTACAGAATGAGTGACTTGACACCGTCCTCCTGGTCCGACTTGATCTATGTGATGAATCAACCGAACAGCACCGTTTTCGAGACATTTTACAGGTTTGTGTTTGTTCGGGGCATTGCAGCATATTTTCTCCTAAGACGAATAAACTGTACCAGAAATACTGTATCAATATTTCATGACACAGAGGTAGTCGCTTCGATGCGGAAGAGTGGAGAGAAAGCAAGAGAGAGGAGGAATATGTTTCCATGTTTGGGTTTGTGTGTGTGATTTTGCCCGGCTGTTTATACACTGGAGGCAGCCGAGCTCAGGAGACCACGTCTGCTGGATTTCGATTATTATGCATCATATATATATATATATATATATATATATATATATATATATATATATATATATATATATATATATATATAAA